AAAAAAATAAAAAAACACATCATAGTAAAATTAATACCTTCTCAGCTTCGCATCGAAGCTAATATACATATTTATTGTAAATATACTTATGAATAAATGTATGAATAAACAACAAAATTTATAAATCAAATTTTAAAAATAATTAAGATGGTCTACAATTTCAAATTGTTGTTATCATATTTGTATATTTCAATTTCCGAATTTTTTCACCTAAAATCTCTAAAAGTCTCAGAACATTTAAAAGCTTAATAGTTTAATACAAAGTAATAATGAAAAAATGTGCAATCCAACGTTAAATTTTTTGTATGTTTTGTTATACTTAATTTGATTATCTACATATAATTAATATTTTGCATTCGTGATAAATTTTCCGAATAAATGAAAACCTTACCTAGGTCCTTGCGTTTCAGTTACTACATAGCCTAGGCGATATGGACCTTGAGTTTAAACAGGATAACAAGCTGTGTCGAGTTGTTCGTCGACACGTGCGTAGCGTATAGCCATGTTATCTGAACACCTGCAATAAACCTATCTATAAGCATCAACAGCCAATCAGGTATTTTGGTTAGGACATAATTGTCTTGACGATTCATTCATTCGGTGACAGAATCCATCTAATGGCAAGTAAACAACTCCTTCATTACATCGGCGTCTCACACATTGCGTTTTAATTGGTTGATTGGTATCATCTAAACCATCAGGATTTATAACTAACCACTGATCTAAAATTAAAAAAAATTATTTCGTAAACCACACAAATTGCACAATAAATACGAGTATTCAAAAATCTTCATTATTAATAATTTAATAACAATAAATAAATGAAGTCATATGTAAAGTAGATACTAGAGGTTTTCATGGTTTTAAAGGACGAATTAAAAAAACTATTTTAATTAAAAAATCGAGAAATATAGGAAACTAACAAATACCAAAAAGAATTTTCTTAATATAGTTATTATTTTAAGAGAAATCGAATGGCTACGAGTAGTTATCCAGAGCTTTAAAAAAATCACCTATATATCAATATGACTCTCTATCATAAGACATT